CCACTCCTAGATTCCCCTGAAGAGGAACAAATAGGAGAAACATCATTAAATTTTGTACGTACTGAGGAGGTACTGGACAGAAAAAGCACAGTCGTCGACGACGACTTTGCGTTCGATATTGCCGTTCACGTCACTGAATACGACGATGACATCGAACCACGGTCTCTAGCGGAATGTAAACGCAGAGACGATTGGCCAAAGTGGAACGAGGCAATAGGAGTAGAGCTGGACTCACTCTTGAAACGCGAAGTCTTTGGACCAGTAGTCCAAACACCTGAAGGTGTAAAACCTGTGGGATATAAGTGGGTATTCATTAGAAAAAGAAATGAACACAACGAGGTTGTACGCTACAAAGCACGGCTTGTAGCACAAGGTTTTTCCCAAAGACCGGGAATAGACTATGAAAAAACATATTCTCCGGTTATGGATGGGAATACCTTCCGATTCCTTATAAGCCTCTCATCTCTGGAAGGCCTAGAAATGCAGCTCATGGACGTTGTGACTGCATATCTATATGGCAATATAGATAAAGATATCTATATGAAACTCCCTGAAGGATATAAAATTCCACCAGAGATAGCAGATAGACCTCGGGACGTCTATTCTGTTAGGCTTCAAAGATCTGTGAACACGTGTGGGGGGGCACCCACGTGTTTGATTGCGTTCGTTACAAACGCGTTCACGAAGTGCAGTTTTGTTGCGTGGGGTCCACCTAGCCACGTGACTTTGTTGTTTCCTCGTTTCTGCATGAACGAGTTCAGCGACAACTTGCGGATGCGACCCACCCGAAGACATGCAGCTATATATAGCTTGCGATTTCTCCCTAGGTTTTTGAGAGCAAGGTTGGGCTTGGAAATTAAAAAAGTCGGCTGAGGTTATTTTTCTCTAGCAGTGTGCAAACGCAGAGAACAAAGAGGTGATTTTGAGCGGCTTTTTTATTATTTTGTGCATCCTTTTGTAGAGAGATATTGTGAGGGATTTGAGAGTTTGTTTGAGGGTTTAAATTGTGAGTGATTGTAAACCCTAGTTGTATTCTCTCCCTCTATTAGTAGATCTCCCCCTCCTTACCCCGTGGACGTAGGCAATTTGCTGAACCACGTAAAAATTAGTTGTACTGTTTTTGTGTGATTTGTAATAGCTTTTAGGTTCCCTCGACGCGCAGTCCTAGAGCTGACGAGAGGAAGAGCAAATATCCCACTTTGATGGGATATTAGGCTTCAGATTCTTGTTCCCTTTGAGAAACAAGAATTCTTATTGCGACCTGACTCTCTTGTTGTGCTGCCGAAGTGCTGCCGAAATTTCCGCTGCGCGCAACAAGATCATTATATGGTCTTAAGCAATCGGGGAAAATGTGGTATAACAGACTAAGTGAGTTCCTTGCTACGCAAGGATTCACAAATGATAAAGTCTGCCCGTGTATCTTTATAAAAAGATCGGGAACAGGATTCATTATAGTCGCCGTCTATGTCGACGACTTAAATCTCATTGGATCTCCTGCAGAGATCGCTGGGATATCTGAAAGCCTTAAGAATACTTTTGAAATGAAAGACCTAGGCAAAACAAAGTATTGTCTTGGCTTACAGATCGAACACCTTAAGGGTGGTATCCTGTTACACCAATCCACATATACACGAAAATTACTTAAAAATTTCCGAATGGATAAATGTCATCCTCTTAGTACACCAATGGTTGTTCGATCATTGGATGTAAACAACGACCCCTTCCGTCCGCTGGAAGAGGGGGAGGAAATGCTAGGTCCTGAAGTACCTTACCTCAGTGTCATTGGAGCACTATTATATCTGGCTAATTGTACGCGTCCCGATATAGCGTTTTCAGTTAACCTTCTAGCCAGATACAGTGCAGCGCCCACAAAGCGCCACTGGAATGGGGTTAAGCATCTTCTGCGCTACCTCCAAGGGTCTATAGACCTGGGATTATATTTCCCTAAGGGTGGGTCTCCCACCTTAATTGGTTATTCAGATGCAGGTTACAGGTCTGATCCCCACACCGAAAAATCACAAACCGGATTTGTGTTTACAATCGGTGGTACGGCCATCTCCTGGAGGTCTATTAAGCAAACTACTGTAGCAATCTCATCCAACCATTCCGAACTCCTCGCGATCCATGAAACCAGCAAAGAATGTGTTTGGCTTCGTTCTGTCATTCAGCACATCTTAGTGTCTACCGGCCTGAAGACTGATGACCTTGAGCCAACTACTATATTTGAAGACAATGCAGCCTGCGTTGCTCAACTTCAGTCTGGCTTCATCAAGGGTGACAAGATGAAGCACATATCTCCCAAGTTTTTCTGGACGCACGATCTTCAAGAGGAGGAGCAAGTTAAAGTACATCAGATCCAATCATGTAATAATTTAGCTGACTTGTTCACTAAGGCTCTGCCTAGATGTACTTTTGTAAAACTTGTAAAAGGAATAGGGATGAGACATCTGAAAGACCTACAAGCCTGAAGCTTGTATGGTTCAGGGGGAGTAACCTATGGGTTGTACTCTTTTTCCTTAGGCTGATGGTTTTTTCCCACTGGGTTTTCCACAGCTAAGGTTTTAACGAGGCAAACAAGTTTACTCTGGATCCAGAAGTATCCACCCCATTAGCTTTATGAACCCTGAAGTGTTCATAAGCTAAACTCAAGGTAATGGATGGATAAGGGGGAGTATTATGAGATGAGGGAGGCCTTTGGCCTCCCCCTCATTATCCCTCCATTCACACCCCCATTATGGTGATGTAACACCCCATTAAGTGAGGGTGACTCTTGGGTACTCAACCTATTCATATTGATTAGTATAAATATATATCATAGGCTTTTGGTCTATGTACTTGCTTTAAACACATCTCTCCTTCTTTCCTTCATACTAATGACTCCACGGTTATATATCTAGTACCCTGTACGATTAAATTGCTTATTGCTTGATTCTTCTCCCCAATACTTTTCTAAAATTTGTATGTATTTCTATTCTCTGTTTTATATCCCTCTATGCTCTTCTTGTAAAATATTTCAGCGTAAACATTGTATAAAGAAGAACATAAAGAATCTATGTCCTCCATCTTCATGGAAAGCAAAATAATAATCATAAAGGTATGGTATATCCACAAACTTTTATTAAATATATATATATATATTAATTTCTGAGAGAAAGAAATATATTCCGACCTTTCCAATTCACAAAGGGCGGAATTTTGTAATACATTTCTTCGTCAGCCGTTGTTGGATAAAACACCCACCAAACTCTACGTCCTCTTCGTCAACTGCCTCTCACGTGTTCCGTCTGAAAACACGTGATCAGAGAGAGAGAGAGAGAGAGAGAGAGAGGGATCCATTTTCACAAATTACGGATGTACCCATTGAAATAGTAGTTGAAAGTAGCGGAAGTATTATTTTTTATTATTATTTGTTTTATAAATTTTTGGAAGTAGAGAAACAATCTTTCTTTTACTTCATTCATTTTTTTGTTTGGTATCAATTATAAATAATGCTAGGAATAGAGAAAGAAGATATTTTCGGATTTGATTTTCAAATAGAGAATATCCATATAATAATAAAAATAATTTTATTTCTAAATTGACTTGATTTCAGTTATTTTTAAAGTGTTTCCGAGGTCGAAGGGTGAAAAAAGAATCAAGAAGTAAAGATGATATATAGTAGCTTTTAAGGAAGTACCGAAAATAGTTTTTTTAGTGAAATAAACATGTTTTTCTTTTTCAGAGGTAACATAAATAGCCCTTACTTTCTTTACTTAGCTACTTTATAGCTACTTTCATGTAAAAAAAAATTCATTAGGTACCGTTTGGCAAAGAGTTAAGTGAAGGGTTAAGGAGACTTAATCCATTCTTAACCCGCCAAACACCAAAAATCTATACAAGGGTTAAAGTGAGTTAACCCTCCATAATTTGTCAAACATAAAAAATATAGAAGGGTTAAGCTAACCCCTCTAGAGAGATTAAAATGAGTTAACCCCGCAAAATGAGGGGTTTACTAATACTCCTATTTAGAAGGATTAAGAGTTAACCCTTCTAATTATAAAGAAAATAGTCAAAATCATTATTATTCTCAAACACTAAAACTGATCACAAGGGCTAAAATAAAACTTATTTAACGGGTTAATAATTTAGTCCTTCAGATTATCGAATGGCTAAGTACATTAATCCTTCTCTTTAACCCTTCTTCCTTAACCCTTTGCCAAACAGGGCCTTAGTTTCTAGTTGTTATTCTAGGTCCTATGTACGCGTTATTGGCATTAAACACATCAAACGCGTAAGATAAGTCCAAGGTTTCCTCACAGTGGTACAATTTTTGTAGGTTTAAGATACATTGAAGCATAATTATAATGCGACCGTTCGACTTCATAGTTATTTTTCATTTTCCAACCATCAAAAAAACTAGTATTTAAACCCGTGCAAAGCACGGTTCCTAAAATATTTTCTGCAAATACTTAACATGTTACCAAAATACACTATTCTGCTTTAGATATGAAGTATAGTGGTGGAAGTGAACCGAATAATTAATAAACAGTTTGATTATTATTCGTCTAGATATTCGAGCAAGTTCGATTGGATAACTACTTCATTAACCAAATTTCTAAAGATCAAATAACTACTCAAAACTGAAATCGAAATAGCACAATAAAGGTCAATTTTTTCAGTGCATAAATGTGTGAAAATATTTATCTAAAATTTAAATATAAAAAATGAAATAAAGTTATTGTTTCATAATTATGATAAACTGAGTTGACACTCCGATTTGATCCATCCATCATCATCTCTGACGTAATTAATCTCCAATCCCTAACCCACGAACAAACAAAACCCATTAAAACTTAGCAACCAAATATTCATTAAAAAAGAAACAAAGATTAACTAAATCAAATTTAAACATAAAAGTTGGTAACATGATCAGAAATAGACATTATTAAGATTAACTAAATCAAAATTAATTATTATAAATAGATATTAGCATCTTCACCATGCTAAAAGAAGTAACTAAATAATCCAAAAACCAACAATCTGAGGCGCATTGACACATGTACATAAGAATTTGATCCTTAGCAAATAAATAAGCATCCGGCAAGCAATGAATTTTAATCACACATTGTTCCCAGATTGGGGATGGTTTCCTGTACAAGCTTCTCTTGGAAGGTAGGTAAAAGTATGAACTGGACAAAACTGGCTATTGATCAGAATCTGAAGATTCTGAAGTAGGACTGCTCGAACAAATTTCTCTTTTATGGAGCTTTAACATTTTTGCCTCTGGGTTGCATAACCCTGGAAAAAGGAAAAGTCAATTTGAAGAACGATGATAACGCCATACATTATGTAAAAGGAGAGCTTCCAAGAAATCAGAGTTATGTATGTCAAAAGCATAGTTCAATAGAATTCAACATTTGCTGCACGTATAATAATTACTAAATTATCAAGATTCTTCTCATGAATGTCTTGTTTCTACTACTATTGTTATTATCCTCCAGGTGCTTATGATATGTGCCGAAAAAAGAAAAAAAGAAAAGAACCCGATACGTGTAAAATTGAACTAAACTATTTACATAAATTGCATGATTATTCAGCTATTTCCAATAAATATGCATTAGCTCAGTAGAGTAATTGAAATTCTCTTATTCCAGATGCCTTGGATTTTACTAAAAGTACATCAAAGAAAACACTGTTCTAATATGATAATATCAAAATTGTTTTTTAGAAAGGTATAACATGCGCGCTTCAACATCCATCATATTCAAAGTCATAATTTAATCAAGTATTAACTATAAAAGCTCCCTATAGGCAACATCCATCATATGTAATACTGAAGTTCAAAATAAAAAACAGAGGAAAACTGTACGAACCTGAGCACTTAGGAATATCCCAAACAACAATTGAAGATGTTGTACAGCCAGGAGAACAAAGTACCCGATTATCTTCATGATTGACATTCATTGCAAGCATCATAGCTCCAATAGTGACATCCTCATTGCTAAACATATGATTACTGTAATCATAAAATTAAGACATGTTTTGTCACAGAAAAACTACGCTTAAAAATATAATATAGGCTTAAAATTTTTAGAATATTTATGCTGAAGTTTAATTAAATGAGTAAGCTTTAGTCATCATGAGGTATTTAGAATAAAATAACCAATACATAGAAAAACACACATTGAATTAGCAAACATAACCACATAACATATTTTAGCATGACACTTTGGTATATACTAAAACATATATTACTTGGGATATGCTTCATATTATTGCATCGTACAAAAGTATTAAATTATGCACTATAAGCACTGCGAAGGCATAAAATTCTTACTTCTCTATCCTGCCTCCATACTGCAATACAGAAGTCTATCAAGTCAGCTTCCCTTTTTTATTTGCAGTGTGTTCCTCCTTAGTAGAGTGAGATTTTAGAGAGCAGAATTTCCTCCTCAACATTGTTTTAGATATCCCCTACATAACCAATATACCGGCCGATATATCTTTTTATAAGGCTTGCCAAAAAACGATATGGACACAATATTCTTTCCTACTTTGCAGTAATTGAACAGTATATCATGATTTCTTGATAACAGATGACATTTCAACCTTAAAAGAAAATCGGCTAAAATGTTGTAATGTCGAGTTGGACTTTTATTTGCTTAAACATATTGGTCAAATTTATCTCGTCAATTTCTAAATAAATAACAGAATTAGATATTAGATCAAAATAAGCAAACTACTTCCAAATTATTTAAGATAAATTTTACAAAAAAAAATAAAAATAAAATGACAGATAGAGAATGGATCACACCTTTGAGAAACTGAAGAAGCTTCAGATGAATCATCGATCGCTGACGCCTTCGATCTCGCGCTGGATCGAAGAGGATACTGAACCTTGGATCCCAAGGAAACCGCTGAAAAAATCATCAAAAAATCAGAGAAAATAGAATAAAATGAACTCCGAGGCCCTCGGGAACTCCGAGGCCCCAAATGAATCCTTTTGTTCATTCGCAATATGGTAACAGCCATTCTGCTTCAAAGTGACAACAAACACAAAGAATATGAAGTTTGAAAACATTAAACTCAATCTATTTAGCAACAACCAATAGTAAGTCTGTGTAATGAATAACAACAAAATGCAAAGGAATCCACACCTACACATCAAAAAGAAAGAATCCAATCTTATTTCAGCGTCAGAACTCGCTTTTCTTACATCATCTAAAGGAGACACCTTCTTCGGAAACAGGCTAAGGGAAATTGGTATGCTTCACCTACACATCAAAAAGAAAGAATCCAATCTTATTTCAGCGTCGGAACTCGCTTTTCTTACATCATCTAAAGGAGACACCTTCTTCGGAAACAGGTTAAGAGAAATTGGTATGCTTCGAGCTCTGCCAGGGTGCTATAACATTCATATATGTAACCTTCACAAAGTTCAAATTTGTAAGATAACTAACGACATTCAACACCAAAAAATCAAAAGAAAGACTTCTTTGCAATCAATTACACCAAAGTTTCCCCCTTTAACTTGATAACCCCAAAGTATTCAAATTGACATTAACTTGACAATTTGATACCCAAAGCCCTAACTTTGTTCATGACTTTCACCAAACTCAAAAAACTAAAATTGGTTAAGAAAATATGTTCCTCATTCACTTTTCTATGTTAACACTCTTGAACAAAATTTAACGCCGACTGTTTTTTTGCACTTTGGGGTATCAAACTGTCAAAATAGAAGGCCAAGTTATCAATGTTCAAAATGGTGACACTTTGGGATATTAAAGTGCAAATAACACAGAAAGCACCAAAATCAAAGAAATCACATACTTTCTCGAGGGTAACAGAGGCTACAGAATCATAAACCTCCTTCGATTTCACGATAATATCATCAGCTAGTCTATTGATCTCGGATGCGGAGAGATTGATTCGCACATTTGTCCCCGCAAGCCCTAAATAAGCGGAAATTAGAAGCATATAAGAGAGGATATATTGTAAATTGAGGGCTAGGGCTCTTGCATTTTTTTCTTCTTGAGCTTTTCTCTGTGAGCGTTGACGAAAGATACGATGAGGTTAATGGCAACAGCGTCAGTGCCGGTGTGTGCGATGAGGCTTCACTTTTTCTTCTTCTTGCGATCTGATCCATTGGAGAGAGTTTGGGTAGGTGGGTAGGTGGG